TTTATTTAATTAAGTAAAATAAATTATCGAAGATTCCTTTTTTTAAGAAAAGGAAAATTAAAGTAATTTTTTTGATTGTTTAATACCTTTTATAAGGCTTTAAAAATTGAAAAAACTTTCTTTTTTTTAATTAAAATTACTTATAGAATTTTTATAATAGAAAGAAATAAATAATAACAATAAAATTATTGATTAATTAATAATGTAATCTTGTCTTAATTTAGATGATAATTTAATGGAATTATGTATTAAAAATCACTATATTAAGGCTTTGATACATATATGTACTAAATAAGGGAAAACAGGTGATGTTTATATGTCTCCTTTAATTATTTTATGGTCTAAATATGTAAAAGAATAAAATAATAATGATTTATAGAATTAATGTTTAAAATATATACAATATTGTATTAAAAAAGGAATTAATAAAATCAACGATTACCCTACTTTAGTTAAATAGATAACTGAATGGCTTTTTGACCCAAGAATTATTACTGAAATAATTCTTAAAGTTGCAAAAGTAGCTTTTTAGACATTTTTTTATTTTTTTATAAATGATGCGGGTTAAATAATTACAGAATCGAGTGATTTAATAATTTAGAAATAAAAAAATCAATATAAAAACAAATTGGGAGAAATTTTAAATTAAATAATTAATTGTTAAAATGACTTAATTATTTAGCTTGAACTATAAAAAAATAATAATTTAATTTAAAATATTTAATTTGAATCTAATATATTTTTAACTAAATTGTATTTGTCATAATTACATGCAAAAGAAGAAAACTAGAAATCAAATAATTAAATATTGTTAACTATCTCATAATCTGCCTTAAAAAATTGTTCTTCGTTTACTCCTTTATATAAACCTATTACGTTTTTTAAGCTTTCTAAGTAATAAATATTTTAAATTCTAGAATTCATAATTTCTAAAAAAAAGCTATTTATACTATCTATTATGATAATGATCTTTCATATAATTAAAAACCTAAAAAAATTAATAATAATTAGAAAAAAATTAACAATAATAAATAGAATAAAATTAATAATAATAAATAAATTAATTAGAAAATAATAAATCAATAAATAAAAATGAATAAGAAATTGATGAAGTTTAATAAACATAATTATTATATTCAACAATTAACTAAAGTATTTGCTATTTAGACAAGACTTAAATTTAATATTTAAATAATTTAATATTAGCTTAAGACTCTTTTTTAGAATATAAAGCTCATTTATATGCTGAAAATAAGTAGTTTAAAATCGCTTTTGATCTATATTTGAATTCTTAAAATAGTATAATACGAACTCGAGTATTTGCCTGGTTAAAAAATAATTTAATTTAATAAAAACATGTCTAGAAGAATCAAAATGAAGTCTGTATAATTAAATCTTTAATCGAATAAAAATTAACTGAATTAATAAAAATTAATTCTGAGAAAACTCGAGAGATAATCAGGGATTTCCTCTAAGAAAGTGAACAGAGAATAATCCTTAAATTAGACGTTTTTCCTGAATTATAATTCGAATATGTATAAAAAATGCTCCAAGAAAGGGAAAATATATACGAGGAATAAATCCCTTAATAAATTCTGAATTTATATATTAAGCTTCTATGTAAATTTCGTCCATAAGAAATTCTCAAAGAGGTCTAAAAATATGATTATGATTTAGATTTTACATTATAAATGTGCCAAGAGTATTAAATTAAAGATGCTTAGGCCTATTTAAAAGAAAGAATAGGGGATATAGAGGGTAGTTTTAAAATTCATGTGGATATTTTAAAGAATTATATATAAAATAAAACACTTTTTGAAAATTATTTTTATACTATATTGAATTTTTGTAAATAGAATATGTAGTCTTTTGATGAGAAAAACAAGGGGAATCTTTTTTTTATGTTTTTAGATATTTTAATTTCTTTGAAAAATAATAAAAATGCTTAATTTTATAATACTTTTATAGGAAAATTAATCACTGAAATTTTAAATAATATAGACATCGATTTCTTTGTTGAAAAACTTAAAAATACTTATAATAATTTAAATTTAGGAGAACTAAAGTATACTTTTGCAGATTTACTTATTAGCAAAGCTTATACTATTGATATTTTATCAAATACAGTATAATTAGCCCTTTCTACAGTTTTAAAATATAAACAAGGAGTCTAAAATAGAATAAAAAGCGCAGTTTTTGCGAATAAATAGTGCTCTTTATGTAAATAAAAGCTTCATAGTTAGGCTATAGTATTTTTCTGTGGGCATATTTTCGATTAAGAATGTTTAATTTAAAGTTAATTTAAATAATCGGTACTTGAAGGCGTATATAAATGTTGTATTTGTCTATAGAATTAAAGTAGAGTTTTTTTTGAAATTATGTTTTAATGTGAAGAATTGAAAAAGTAGAAAAATAATAATATTAATAGAAAAATAAATAATAATTAAAGATAAAAAATAGAAAAAAAAACATAAGAAGTAGAATTTAATAGTAATTTTGCTATAAAAGAAAATAAGAAGCTTAAGCTTTTGAGTATATTAGATAAATTCGATTAAAGAAAACATGAGGTTATAAATAAAAATGATAAAATGTATTTTTTATAGAAATGAAAATATATTAAATAAAATTTATTAAATAAAAGTATTTTATTAAAAAAATTGTATTATTATATAAAAAAAAAAAAATAATATATTATACAAAAAATATAAATTTATTAGAAAAAAAAAAAAAAATATATTAAAATAAATAAATATTATATATTTATTTAAAAAGTATATAAAAAATAAAAATTAATAAAATTAAATTAAATTCTGATGGGTATATTAAATTTAAATATATGATAAATTTACAAAAATTCTTTTATAAAAAATTTCCTTTAATATAATAAAAAATAATATTTTATATTATAAGAAAAAAAAAAATTAATTATAATATTTAAAATAATTTTATATCATAAAAAATCTAATAAAAATAAAAATTAAAAAAATATAAATATTAATATAGATATTAATGTTATTAAAATTATATAATAATTATTATTATTATTATTATTATTATTATTATTATTATTATTATTATTATTATTATTTCATTTTATATTTATTTTTTTATTTATTAATTTATATTAATTCATTTTTATATTTATACTTTATTTTTATAATTTATTGTTTTTTTATTATTTTTTTTTTTTTTAATATTTTTTTTATTTTTTAAATATTAATTTTTTTTATTTATAACTTTTTTTTAAAACTTTTAATAATTTTAAGATATATATTATTTAATTTTATATTTTGAATATATAATAAATTACTTTAACCTAGTTATTTAATTTTTTTTAGTATTCATTATTAAAATTATTTCTTTATTATAATATGTATTTATATTTAATCGCTTAAATTCTCAAATAATATAAAATATATGAAAAAAATTAATTTATTAGGTAAATAATTTATATTTTACATTTTAAATTTCTAATTTATTTTATAAATATTTTAAATAATCTATTTTATATGATGTTTTTTATATTATAATACTAAATATTTTTTTTTATAAATTTTATTTATAATTATTAATTAACATTTATATTTATTAATTTTATAATCTAAATATTAAATAATTATTAAGTTTAATATTTTGCATATTATTTTCTGTATAAAAAATTATTTGTTTGAAATAAAAGTATTATTTTATTTTATATATATTTATTTTATTTATAGAATTTAAATTATATATTTTAATTGTAATTCTATTTTAATTATAACAAATGTAATATTTATCAATATTATAAATTTTGACTATAAATTTTATTTTTAAATAAAAATTTATATATTTTTTTAATATTTTATTAACTACAAAAAAATTATACTTATAATTTATTAAGTTTTTTTGTTTGTTTGTTTGTTGTTAATTTAGTTTTAAATAAATAAGTTAAAAAATATATTTTTTAAGCAATTGTAATTTAATTTTATTAATATTATTATTTTTAACATTTAATTTTTTTTATAAAAGATTTTATATCAAAGTAAAATTAATACTTGTTAGAAAAAAAATTATTTCTATTAAATTTTTGATAAAAAAAATATAAAAAACTTAAAAATATTTATATTTATAAACATTTAATTAACTCAAATTTTGTTTAAATTTAAAAATATAAAAAAGTAAAAAAATTATATAATAAAATAAATATTTTGGAAGGCTTTTTTTTTAAGTTTAAAGATTGTGATTTTCTTTTAACAAATTAATTTTTTGATTATAAAAAATTGATAAAATAAATAAAAAGCTGTTAGTTAAAATAAATTTTGAAATTGATATTATACTAACATTAATTATATGCACATATACAAATTTATATTAAAATATTTGATTAATAATTATTGTGAATTTTTAGAATAGTATTTTATAAATTTATAATGATATTTTAAAAAAATCTAAATAAGAATAAAGCTGTTTATTTACATAGATATATGACTGATTAACAAAAGTAATAAGAATTAACTTTTTAACAAAAAATATAAAAGAAATTTATTTTATCATATTTATATTAATTTATATTTTTATTTTTTTTAAATTAAAAAATAATAGTTTTATTTAACTTCAAATGTTATTTTCTTTATCATTTTTAATATTTACTTTACTATTATTTATCATCATATTTATAATTTCCTTTGTATATTTAAGTCTTTTAACCATTTAAGTATTAGTGCTTTCTAATGCATTTTAAAGTGGATAATTAGTTTTAAAACCACAAGTATCTACATATGTAATTATTTTATTTTCACTACATAATAAAATTTCAGTCTTATCTGTAAATATTACTTAAACTAACTTATTAGATAATCTAAAAAGTATCGCATGTTTAGTTTTCATCCATTTTTTTACATAAATACATTACAAATCTTATTATGATTATTAAATTAATTATTAACTTTATTATTTTCCTAAGGAATTAATACTTTATAATCTTTTTTTCGACTATTCGTTAAGATAACTTTTAAAATGAATCAACAATGTAACTTTTTTTTCAAATCTTATGGATAATCTTTTAAATTATATTCTTAAATATTATCATTATTCTCAATATACTCAAAATTGTTACTATTATTATCCAATATGATCTTCGATAAATCATTAAAAATGACTCCATTATTACCATTAGAAAGTAAATATCCTAAGCCATACTTGCTTGAATAATCTACCCATAAATTAACGCAGACATTATTATTATTATAATTTTTATATTATTATTATTATTATTATTATTATTATTATTATTATTATTATTATTATTATTATTTTCTATTTTTCTTATTTAATTTTTCGAAACTAGAAAATTATTATTTGTAATGTTTTTCATAGATTATATTTATGTTGGTTATTAAATTTTAATACTTTATGTTTAAGGCCTTATTTCTTCTTTTTTTTATAACCAATTACTAGAAGTTATTAATGCCCAAGGTTTTCCTTAAGTTTTTAAAGCAGACATAGTTTAAATTTTCCCAATTTTTAAATCACTATTTGTTAATATTTTCTATTATGTAAGAAATTATTTATATGAATTACTATTATTATTTATTAACACCTAATTTAAATATAATTATTATTTTAAAATACTCATAAATGGATGCTATTCAATTTCTTCTAAAGTGGGTCTGCGTAAAGGGTCTAATACTAAAATTTTATTTATTAAATCTTTAGCATTATCAGTAATATATATATTTTCTGGGAAATTATATTAATTCTACTTTATTCGTTTATATGTAGTTTTGACATCAGGAGTTTCAAATGGTGGCTGATAATTATTAAAAAATTTAAATGTATAAAAATTTAAAAAAATATATAATTATATGAATATACAATAATAAAATATAATATATATAATATATATATATATATATATATATATATATATTTATATATAATTACTTTTCCTATTAAAAGTGTATAAATTATTACCCCTAAAGACCATATATCTACTTGGAAAGAATGTCCGTTTTTTCCATCTATAATTTCAGGAGCTATGTAGTTTGGAGTACCACATATAGTGTGTTTTTTTTCAGACATATGTTCTAGTTTAGTTGCTAATCCAAAATCTCCTAATTTTATTTCGTTTTTGCTGTTTAGAAATAAATTGCTTAGTTTTAAATCTCTATGTATAACTCTATTTGAGTGTAAATATTTGAGTACCTTAACAATTTAATGTGTATATGTAACTACTTCTTACTCGTTTAGTCTTTTTTGTTTTTTCATATATTCGTTTAGTGTGTTGTTTGGGCATATTTCTAATAATATATAGACGTTTTCACTATCTTCGAAAACATGTTCGAATAATACTACATGATAATGAAAAAGACTTTTGTGAATTTTTATTTCGGATATTAATTTGGAACGAGCTCTGTTCTTTACTAAAGTTTATTTAGGAATTATTTTCGCCGCTAATGCTTTTTTAGAATCTAAACTTGTAACTTCGTAACATTTTGCGAAACCTCCTTTCCCTAATATTCGACCTTTTATGTATTTTTTTATTATTTAGTCTCCGTTTGATTTTGTTATTTTTTCTTCGATTATATTTTATTGTTTATCTTACATATTATCAGCTTCTGACATTTTTTATCTTATTATTTTATATATATTTAAATATATATGTATTTTTCTTTTTTTTTTTTATGTTTTTAGTTTATATTTTTTAATAAAAAAAAAAATATAATAAAATAATAAAAAAGAAAATTATTATAATAAAAAAAAAAAAATTAAAATGAAATTCAAATAAGTTATATTCTTTTTTTAAATTTTTTTAATTATAAATTGATAATTAAAATAATCTAAAAATGTATTTTGGTTGTTTTTATATATTTATTTATATATAATATTTTAATCCTATTTTTTTATTTATTTATTTTTGAACAAATTAACAGTTAACTTTTATTAAATGAATTTTATTATATTAATATTTATTTTATTAATAAATATAAATAAAAGTAATACATAAATTATTATAAATATAAATTAATAGCAATACAATAATATATATTATTGAGAATATTAAAAATAAAAACACGATGTTATATTGCTTAGAAAAAAATATTAATAGTATCTAATTGAATTATCAATATATAATTTAAATTTATCATAACTATCTTTATTTATTTATATTAATTATTATTATTCATAATAAATTAATTTCTATTTTATATTGTTATTGTTTCACAAAAAATAAAATTTATAGTTTATTATCACAAGTAAACTCAAAAATTTTAATAGTCATATTATCTAACATTTATTTCGAATATTTACTTCTAATACTTCAAGCTGCACTCGAAATAATTTTTAAAAGTCAACGAAATTCTTATTATACTAAAATTAATATTAAATAATATAAAACCCTAATAATTAGAAGTAAATATAACTTTGAATATTTTTATTTAAAACAGACTTAATTATTTCCAATAATTAAATTAATAATTTTAGATTTAATTTAAATATAAAAATCTATTTTTTTTTACAAGTTTTAAATATTCTTCCTAATATCCAATTCCTGTTTAGAATATTTTCATGATTATAATTTCTATTTATAAAAAAATTAACCAAATATTATTTAAATTATAAACTTCACTACAAATTTTTATATAAAATTTATTAAAATAGAAGATTATTAAAGTCTTTTATACTTTATACTATTTAGTAGCCTAAATCTATTATAAAAAAATAAATATTAAGTATTCTTTTCTGAGATATTTTTTATAAAAACAAGTTGATTTTTTTTATGTATTTTTGGATTATTTTATTAATTCCGTGATATTTATATTATTTATTATTGTAGTACATTTTCCTCTGTAGTACTATTTTAAGATTATATTTTTTATAACTTTAAGTTTGTTTTTAAACTTGAAATTCCATATGATTTTATAATCGATATATTATTAAATCCAAAATATGATTATATTATTTTAAAGAATTTATAATATTTATATTTTATGTATATTTAATTTAACAAATGGAATCTACTAGAATATCTTTTAATATACATTAAATTTTATTATATCAAAATATAGTTTTTATTAAGATTTTTTATTTCAGAGTATATAGGAAAATTATTTCTTTTTATTATTATTATTATTTATTCTTTTTCTTTTTTATAAAGTTTAATAGATTAATTAACTAGAATAATAATGTTATATTGACTAGAAAATTCTCGTATTATTTTTAATTTTTAAATTCGATAAATTTAATGTTTTTGCAAGTAAAATCGGATTTTTTTTATCATAATTTTGTGCACTTTTATTAAATAATTTAAACTAATTTTTGTGTTTTTTGGTTTAGAAATAATACCATAAATGAAAAAAAAAATTAATAATTCGAAAAATATTTTTAATTATGTATTCTTTTTATTTTCTTTATTTAACTATATTATTTTAGAAATATTTATATATTTAATTTCTTTAAACTATATAATAATCTTTATTATTAATTATATCATTGTTATCAGCCAGAAGGCTATTGATTTCATTAAATTATTATATATATCTTAGTTTTAAGAATTAAAAAATAAATGCTTACAATTTCTATTATTTATTTAACTTTTTTTTATTAATTAGTTACGAAAATTGTATTTATTATTTTAAATACAATTAAATAAAGTAAATATTTTCACAAAAGCCTTTTATATTTATCTATGTACTACAAAAATAATATTTTTATATTATATACTGATATTAAATTTTTATTTTTATATCCTATACTGTTATGTAGTATTTATCCTTATAAAATTTATTTCAATTTAGGAAATAAATTTTAGTCATTATTTCAATATTTTTTATTATTTTAAATACTTTAGTTTCTATTAAAGTTTAAATTTTCTTACTTAAGATTTTTTTATTTGTTTATAATCGAATAGTAATGATTTTCTTGTTTTTTTTTTTTTTAATTTTAATAAATAGATGAATAATTTTTTTTTGTTATTAAATAAAATTAATTATTTCTTTTATATAATAAGGATTATATTTAATGAATAATTTCCATTTTTTTTATTTTTTTTAAAGAATCTTAATTTAAATATGATTTATTTATTTAATAGATAATTAGCTTTTAAAATTAACTCTCTATAAAGTTTTTATTTTTTTTCTAAGATCAATCATATATATATCATTTATTCAATAAATTGTACTTAATATAGTTTAATTGTTTTTACGTTAAATAAAAGAAAATTAAATAATTCTTTATTTTTTTAATAAAATAATTTTTTTTTTTATTAATATTTTTTTTTAATTTAAATAATTTTTTTTTTATTTTTTTTTTAAAAAAAAAACAAAAAAAACAAAAAAAACAAAAAATCGTTTAAATTTCTTTTATATATAATATCAAATCTATAAGATAGTTATTTAATATATATATATATATATATATATTTTAAACAAAATAAATTACTATATATATATATATATATATATATGAAATATTCAGATATAACTTAAGAAAGTCAAAGATATATAAGATAATCTTAATAAAACGAACAAAAGGAGAATTTTGTTCAACAGCAATATTATCAATAGAATTAATATACTCAACAATAATAATAAATTCCAATGTAACCTTAATAATAACCTCTTTCTTATCGAATTAATACTGATTAATCAAAATCTCCTCGAAGAGAAAGCAGCAGCTTATCAAGAAGTTAAAGTGGAGCAAATAATTATTAATAATATACAGAAACATATTATTTAACAGGATGGGGAAATTCCAAAAGTGGTTAACTAAGTGCTTCTAAACTGACAACAAACGCCATCCAATCATTTGGAAATGGAATTATAAATATAAGTGGTGGAGAAAATCATACAATGATAATAGATTGTAAGAAGCAAAAATATATATATATTATTTTTTAGCATTTTTTATTTTTTCTGTAATTTTTATTTTTTAAAAAAATGCCATAATCAATTTTTTCTTGCTTTTTTTTTGTTGGATTGCGTTTTTTAAAAAAAAAAAATACAGAAAAAATCTAATGTTAAAAAATAATATATACTTTTTTAACAAAAAAAAATAAAAGAAAAATAAGAATTATATGCATGTGGAAACAATTTATATGGTTAATTGGGTATAGAGGGTGCTAATATAATAATGAAACCAACAATAATACCTGTAAAAAATAAATAAAAATTATAAAAAGATATATATATATATATAAAGCATCTTAAAGATATAAAAATATCAATGGTAAGTTGTGGTTCAGATCATACATTTGCACTAACTAATAAAGGCGAAGTATATTGCTGGGGTTTAAATTTAAAAGGATAATTAGGTATAGGAAATTTCGAAAGTTAACACTAACCTGTTTTAGTGTATTCTTTATTACCTTTTGGTTAAAATAATTAAAAAGTTAAAAAGAAACAAGAGGAGAAAAACGCTGATTTAACAAATCATAAAAGACTTAAAAGTTCTAATGACTTGCCTTTAAATTCTGAGGAGAATTGCTTAAAAGAAAGGTCAAATTCTATCGAAAACATGATGGAATAATTGAATACTATAAAATAAATTTCTAATAAAACTCTAAAAAATTCCAATAATTATAACATTTTCGGAGGAAGTGATGTTTTGACTGAAATTGTACTTGGAAATGATGAAGTTGTGACTAATATGTCGTGTGGAACACTCCATACAATTGTTTTAACCAATAAAAATAGAATGTTCTCTACTGGTTATGGTGAAACTTATGCTTTAGGACATGGTGATAAATAGACTTTGTGTTAGTTTAAATATATTAATACTATGTAGAAGTTTTAGCCTTCTTATGGAAAAAATTCGACTGATTTATCACCTAAAATTGAAAAAATAGATAAGATTTCATGCGGGTTAACACATTCGTGTTGTATTATGGGAGGAAAAGCCTTTATGTGGGGAATTTTGGGATAGAAAGAGTCTCTTATTTTCTAAACTCCGACCGAAGTTGAATTTTAATAAGGAAATAATAACTCTTTTAATATTATAGATGCTAAAGCAGGAGATTGTTTTACTTTGTTTTTAAATAATAAAGGAGAAGCATATACTATTGGGGAAAATATAGATGGATAATTATGTACAGAAATAATTAAAAATAATAATTTTAATAATTATTATGAATATCCAATTAAAGTTTAAAATATACCAATAATAAATTAAGTAATTTATAAAATATAACAAATAGATATATTTTCATATTTATATTTAAACAAAAATAGATTGCCGTAGGAAAGAATCATTGTCTTGTTGTTTCTGCTGATTTTAAAAATATATATGGATGGGGAGCTAATTGCTATGGTTAAGTAACTGGTAGATTAACAAAAAATACATAAATTATATCTGCAGTTAAAGTGTAATAATTAAGTTCTGAAATAAAGGATATTAAAATAATATGCGGAGCATACCATACTATGATGCTGTGTAATAAAGGACTTTCTGGAAAGGAGTTTATATAGAAAGAAGATGAAATTTAAAATAGTTAAAGTGGAAATATTAATAATAATAATAATGAAGAATTGGATAAAATAAAGAAATAGAATTAAGTTGAAAATGAAAAATAATAAAAAAAAATCGAAGAATCTCAAAAAGAAGTGGAAGCCTTGACTAAAATGAATATAAATTTAATAAAAAGTCAGGAAAAATTACAAAAGGAGTTTAAAATTAAAGAAATCGATTATTAAAAATAACTTAAAGAAATGTAAAAATTAATAAAATCTCAAGAATAAACCTTAAACGGAGGTCAAAACTAAGAAAATGTACCTAAATTCGAAATTAAAGGTTTGGAAAAATATTCTGGTAAAAACTTGAATTTTAGAACTTTTAATAGTAATTTAGAAATAGAATTTTCTGAATTATAAATCGAAAAATAAATATCAGAAGGGGGCTATGGGATTATTTATAGAGCCAAATGGAGAGAAACTACTGTCGCAGTTAAAAAATTCAAAATAGATTCAATTACGGAAAGTAATATTAGAGATTTCCTTTCAGAATGTCATGCAATGGAAGCTTTGAGGCATCCAAATATAGTCATGTTTTTAGGCGCCTGTACTAAACCTCCTAATTTTTGTATTATTTTGGAATTCTGTCATAGAGGAAGTCTTTGGAGTTTACTTTAGAATCATGAAATAGCGTTATCCTGGGAAGAAAGAAGGAAAATTGCAATAGACGCAGCAAAAGGGGTACATTATTTACACTCTTGTAATCCACCAGTACTTCATAGAGATTTGAAAAGCTTGAATTTATTATTAGATGATAATTTGACTTGTAAATTAGCTGATTTTGGATGGACAAAAGCTATGGATAATTATATGTCAAATAGAATAGGTAATTTTTTTTAAAAAAAAAAATAAAATAAAATAAAAATAATTATATTTAATTATGTTAAAATTATATTAATAAAATAATAGGTACATATTAATGGATGGCTCCAGAAGTAATTTCTTCAAATAGTTATACCGAAAAAGCTGATGTTTTTAGTTATGGGATTATTTTATGGGAAATATCATCTAGAGAACCTCCTTATAGAAGTAAATATATATGTAAAAAATTAATATATTTTTATATAAATAAAGATAAATCTGGATAAACTGTTTCTGTTGAAGTACTTTAAAATGATTTAAGACCAAGTATTCCTAAAAAAACACCAGAAGGTTTTTGTAATTTAATGAAAAGATGTTGGGTAATAATTTACAGAAAAATATATTATTAATTAATTATAAAATTAAATATAAATAAAAAAATAGGTATTTATTATAGATATATTTAATTATAATATAAAATAAAAACAAAAAAAATTATCAATAATTCTTAATATATATAATTAATTTTTTATATTTATTTTTATTATTAATATATTATATTTTTTTTTTATTAATAATTATTTTATAATGTAATCTGTTTATATATTATAAAATAATAAATATATATTAATTTATAGATTTATATATTTATATTAATATAATTTATATATATATATATATTTATATATTTATATATTTATATATTTATATAATTATTTTTATTTTTATTTTATTTATTAATTTTTTCTACATAATAGGATAGAGATCCTTAAAAAAGACCTTCTTTTAAAGAAATTATTAGAATTTTAGAAACAATTTCATTAAAATGATGATTAATTATATTTTTTTTTACATATATTTTATTATTTAATAATTTTTTTTGATTAAATGTATATTTTTTTATATTGAACAAATTTTTTTTATGAAATATAATTTTAACTGAAAATTCTTATTTTATTTTTTATAATTAATTTAATATTAATAATGTCTATTTTAAATAAAAATTAATCAAATAAATATTTTTTCAATAAAATATGCATATATAAAATAAAAATATAATTATTTTTTTTAATAAAAAAACACTGTATTATTTTATCTAAAAAAATAAATATTATAAAACTTTAAATTAAAAAAAAACTAAAATGCACAAAGTTTCCAATTCTTATCCAAATCTAGATCGTAAACATAATTAAGAAAAAGCTTAAGAAAGAAATAAAACTTACATAAAATAATAATCATTATCGGCAAATTAATTAATTTTCCAAACAAATCATTAATAAAAAAATAAAAACTAATCCAGTTTATATTTTCGAAAATTTAATTAAAACAGTTTACAATCATTCGGACAAAATTCTACTAAATACATAACTTTATCAACCACAAGTCATTTAAGTAATGCTTTATAGAATAAATAAGATAATGTTTTTCTCGAATTATTGAAATAATAGTAAAAATCTTCTCAAAATTTAACATAAATAGAAAATATAGCTGCATAATCTTTCTATTATATTGATAATAATGAAATTTAAAGTGTAAAAGAGTTCATGTATAGGTTCGAAAAATTTAATAAATATCGCTAATATGAAAAAGCTAAATTCTAAAAAGATACAAAAAAATAACAAATTGAACAAATATAAGAAGTTTTAAAAAAAAGATATTAAGAAGCAAGATTTTAACAAAAAAAATTGAAATAAAAAAATAAATAATAAAAACTAAAGAATAATTAAATGAGAAAGAAGTCGAAAATAAAACTTTAAAAGATCTATCAAAATATGCTTTTGTAGATTAAAAACTTACTTATAGATAATCTTGTAATTAAATAATTGCATTTAATAAAGTAGGTGAATTATAATAAATGAAATTTAATAAAATCTAAAAAGAAATAAATTAATCTTTATCCAAAATTAATACTCCGTTTAAATTTTAACATTAGTTTAATATGTTTTTGTAAAGGAAAAAGTAGTTTTTTTCAAAATAATTTGATTAGAATAAATTTATTAGTTGGGCTATTTTTGAATAAATTCCGGTTGGTTTTTTAACCAAAACACCTAATTTTTAAAAATATTATGAAAATAAATAGGATGATTTTAAGAATATTTAAAAATGAGAATATTAAATATTTCTTATTTTAATAGAAATGATATGAATAAATATTTTTTAATATTTTTAAAATAAATTATTTTAAATTGAATTTTTTATTTATATTAATTAAACTATTAATTAAACTTTTATAAAAAAACTAATTTGTATATTATTAATTGTTGTTTATTTTGAAAAAAAATAAATTTTTATAAATAAATATTAATAAATAAAATTAAAATTATATATATTTTAATTTACTATATTAATAAATATTTTTATAAATTTAAATTTTTCAACTAAATATCTTTTTTAATAATAATTAATAAATCAATTTTTAATAAAGAAAAGATAATATATATATATATATTTATATATATATTTTATATATACTTATAAATATATATTTTCTATTCTTAATAATTCAATTCTTTTTAAAAAATTTGAACTCATAATATAAATCTAAAGAAAATTTACAGAAATTCAATAAAATATAAATTGTTATATTTTTATAAAATTTATACCATAATTATATTTATTATATATTAAATTAATAATTATATATATTTTAAATCTAATATTATAAATAACATTTAATTACTATATTTTTTATTTTTGCTTCAATAACATGATATAATTTTTTTTTTTTTATCAACTATTTTTTTTTAGTTATTTATATATAACGAAAAATACTAATTAAATAATTTTATAATAAATAATTAATTAACAAAAAACACTTAAAGAATCTAAATTTAGAATTAAATTAAGCTTAACTTCTATTCTTTGATTTTAAAATCTTTCATTTTAACTTTGTAATTTATTTATTTTTAAAAAACAATAATTATTATTTTTTATATAAAAATTAAATATTTACAAGAAATTTAAACTAATTTCTTAAATTAAGTTACACTCTTAAAAAAAAATTACTTAACTTTATTAATTAAGTATATTATTTGTTAAGCTTTTATTATATTATTTTTTTTTTACAAATTTTTTTTTTATAAGAATAAAATTTTTATTATATAAATTTACTTGAATTTCAAATATAGTTAAAAATTTTTTTTTTTAGATTTAAACATTAAAAATAAAAATTATATGTACTTAATTTAATTACTATATATATATATATATATATATTTAATTTTCTAAATATTAAAATAAAATACTTTTCAATTTAAATAAATTTTTTTCTTATATATAAATTTTTTTTTATTTTATTTAAAAAAATAAATTAATTTTTGATTACAATTATTAAATAAATATACTATCAAAAATATATTAAAATTATTTTTATATATTTATTAAATTCATTATTATATCTTTCACAATAGTAAATATAAATTAATATTTTACAAAAACCCTTGAAATATTTATAAACAATATATTAGTTTATCTTTCGTTTGTATTTAAAAGTGTTATTAATTTATCTTTCTATTTTAGAAAATCAAGATAATATTTGATCTAAATAACTAAATAAAAGCATCTAAACAACTAAATAAAAGTCTCATTCTATTATTTATTTTCATATTAATTATTATTTATAGTTAAGAATGAATTTAAATATTCATAATCATTATTGCTAAAATATGTAAAAAATAAAAACATTAATATTGAAACAAAAATAAAAATTAATGTTAGTTTTTTTTCAAAACAAAATGCAATAAATTCAATAAATTATTATTTATGACTTTAACATTTTTATTTGAAATGATTAATCATTTATTTTTAAATAAATGTATATTTTCTTTGGATATAAATATTTTTATTATAAGAATATTTTAATTGAATAATATTTTTTATAATTTTATAAAAAACGTTATGTATATTTATGAAAAATAAATATTAGTTTTTTTTGTTTTATAATAATAAGCGTTATTATTGCAAATATTATATTTATTTTTATTATTTCAATAAGAAATATTAATTATTTTTCTATTAATTTTAATATAAAAAACTTACAAAAAAATCTTTGATAAATCATTATATATATAAATTAAAAAATAATATAATTTTTTTTTTTTTTTATTCTAAAAAAAAAATTAAAATATTTTATTTTTAATTAGATAATTTTATTATAAGCTTATATAATTTATAAATAGAAATAATATATATTTATTTGTTTCATATATTTTTTTAAAAAAATGCTTTAAATTCTTCAAAACTCATTTAATCATTTGAAACACCACAAAATTTCAAAACATCTAAAAAATAAATATTAAAAAATAGGAAAAAAAAAAAAAAAAACTTTATATTTCATCCTAATTTGTTTTATCATTAAAAATTTCGAAAATATTTTTTATTTTTTTAGAATCAATATTAGCATCTCTTAATATATATTTTTTTATTATAAAAATAAATATTAATTTATAATAATTGTTTACTCTGTATAATCAAATTAATGGAAACAATTTAATAATAATTCTTCTTAAAGATCTTTATTACTCATACATTCATTAAAATAATTACAAAACTCTTTAAAACTAAGCATAGTTTTATTATTTGGAAAATATTTTAATTCAATCATTTCATCTTTATCATTTTATCTTTTATTTATTCATATAATTATTTATTTGTATTATAAGTAAATATATATTTTTTACTATTGTAAAACTCCATTTTTTTTTATTTTTCAGCTTCTTCATTCTAATAATTATCTTTTAAACTTTCTAACTAATAAATTAATTAATTTATTTATTTTATATCTATTTCTCCATCCTAATTAGGGTTAAATAAATTAAAAATATTTTTTAATTCTAAATTATCTTCGTTATTCATTTTTTTATTATTATTTTTAAAAAAATTAATATTAATATTAATTTTAAATATTTAATTAACTAATGAAAATAATAGTAATAGTCATTTTATATATTTATTAATTAAAAAAAAAATATATATATATAGAATAAAAAAATTATAATTTAAAAAAAAAATGATTATCAGGAAGCCAACTAAAATCGAATTAAAGCACGAAGAAGATTACGAAGAATACGAATAATACAAAGAAGAATAAAATGAAAACAATAAATTAAGCAGAAATTAGGATTCCGCATTTGGATCTGATTTCGGAATCACTTTAAGTACAAACAATAGAACATCATTAAATTAGCAATTTTAATAAAATCGAAATAATGATAGAAGTTTTTTGGGAGAACCTTTTTAAAATCCATTTTAAAATGCATTTTAACATGAATCGAATTTTAGATAATAATAGAACGTATAATAATTCGATTAGTAATTTTTTATTAAAAATAAAATATATTAATATTATATATAGTCTTTAATAAAGTGCTAATTTAAATTCGAATGTACCCGGAGCAATTAATTATAGTTCTATTAATTAAGGATCTTTTGAAAGATTTTAAAATGGTATTAGTAATCCTGATAATGGATAAATTAATTAAATATTTTCGGCTTTAATGGGAGGTGTAGGAAGAATTTCTTAAAATGGGAATAATAATAATCCTTCTTCTTTGAATACTTCGAGTTGATTTTATTTATTAATTTTTATTAAATAATATGTTTTTTGTTTTTTTTTTTCTAATATTTCAAATATTTAATAATTTTTTTTTTTTATATATATAATTTATAATTTATTATTTCATTTATTTTTTTTATATCAAATTAATTTTTTATTTTAAATGAAAAAATACACAAAAAAACTCAGATCTTTTTTTCGATAAATTTATTCAAAAAAATAAATAATAAAAAAAAAATGAATTAATGTAAGAAATAAAATATATATATAAAAATATTAACAAAAATCATATTTATAAACAGTAGATTTAGAAGAAGAGAATAAAACAAAAGAAATAAAGGAAGAATTAGAAATATGGAAAAAAAATTCACCCTTTTTATATGACATATTAATAACTTAAAAATTAGAATGGCCATCATTAACAGTATAATGGTTTCCTCAAAAAGAAACGTAATAAAAACCCAATAAAAAATAAAAACTAAATATAAAGAAATCAAAATGAAAATAACATTACACATAAATTACTGTTAGCTACCCATACATCTTAATAAGAAAATGATTATTTATTACTAGCAAGTGTAACTCTTCCAATAGAATAATAAGAATTACAAGATAAAAATTAGCATAAGAATTATAAAAACCTTATCAAAATAGATAAAAAAATAATGCATTAAAATGAGTCTAATAGGGCACGAATAATGCCTTAAAATGCGAAAATAATAGCCTCTAAAATAATAAATGGAGAGGTTCATATATTTAATATAGATGATGAAGGCATGGAAAATGAAATAAAACCTTAAAAAAAGTTAAAAGGACATAAATAAGAAGGATATGGTTTGTAATGGAATTCATAAAAAGAAGTAAAAACAAATATATTTATATAAATATATATCGTTTATTTTTTTATATAAAAGGGATATTTATTATCAGGAGGATATGATAAGAAAATATGTATTTGGGATATTCTAAATTAAAATGAAAAACCAATTATAACCTTTTAAAAAAATAAAGAATGTGTAGAAGATGTTAGTTGGTAAAAAAATCAAACAAATATTTTTGGTTCAGTAAGTGATGATAAAACTATAATGATGTATTAAAATAAAAAAATATTAAATATATATATATATATATATTTATATATTAAAAAGATGGGATCTAAGATAATAATAATATTGTTAAGTTATTGAAAATGGACATGAAGGTGAAATATATTGTATTGATTTTAATTCTTTTAACGAAAATTTATTTATTACTGGTTCTGAGGACAAGAATGTTAATTTATGGGATATGAGAAATCTCTAGTATAAAATGCATTCTTTTGAAGGTCATAGTTAATAAATCGTTAGATGTGAATGGAATCCTTAACAATAAAATATCTTTAGTTCTTGCTCTTATGATAAAAAAGTTATTGCCTGGGATCTTAAAAGATGTGGATAAGAAATAAAAAATGAAGATTTGTAAGATGGAGCTCCTGAATTATTGTTTATGCATTCAGGACATACTGAAAAAGTCAGTGATTTTTCATGGAATTCTAATGAAGAATTTTTAATTGCATCTGTCGAGGAAAATAATATGTTATAAGTTTGGCAAATGGTAATTTTTTGTACTTATTTCTTTTATTTTTTTATATTTATAGAATAGTAATATCTATGAAGATAATGATAATAGCTGTTTTTGATTATTATTATTATTATTTTACATTTTTTATATAAACTTATATTTATATGATTCTTATTATATAAATCATAACAAGGCTTGAAAAAATATAAAATAAATATTAATATATTTTATTTTTATAATATATATTAATAATTAAAAATTAAAGAGATAAAATACATTAATTCTTCTAGTTTTAAATAAAAATAATTAGCATTTTTAGTAATAAATTCATATGTTTTATTTTATTATATAATATAAAATATTTTATTTAGAAATAACTAATTCTTATATAATCCAAATTTTTTTTTGAAAAAAATTATTATAAAATAAAAATTTATAAAAATAACAAAGTAAAATAATAATTAATTTATATTATATAATTAAATAGAAAATAATATTTATATATAAAACTGGAAATAAATATTTTAAATTTAAATAGCATTTTAAAAAGAAATAAATTATTAATTAAAGGTTTTTTTATATAAAAAAGTATTATGTAAAATAATAATAAAATAAGAATAATTTTAATTTTTATAAAATATTTAATAATTAAGAAATAAACAAAATAATAAATATATATAATTAAATAAATTAATTGTTTTAATAATAATTAAATACATTAATTATTAATGTGTTAATATATATATATATATATATATTTATATATAAAAAAAAATTAATAATTAAATTCAAAAATCATTGTAAAATAAAAAATAAATTAAAATAATATTCAATTTTTAAGAGCTGCCAGTTAAGCATCAAAATCATCATCTAACTATTCTTAGCTTTACTATTATTAAGGTTAAACATTTATATTTTTATTTCCAGGTTATTTGACTTATTATTCTATTTAATTAATTATATTATCAACTTCCTATTCATTCTCTAATTCCATATTATCATCAGCTGCTTCCATAGCATCATTCATCATTTCCTCAGTTAATCCCATTTTTAACATTTCTTTTTACATATCAGCCATACCAACAGCTAATTCTTTAATATTCATACATTAATTTATTTATTTCATTATTGAACCAGTTTATTGCATTGTCTAAGCGAATTTTATTTAGGCGAAAAAGTTATCTAAGCTATACTAAAGAGACATGACTTTAGCTTTATTATTTAAGTATCTTTCTTTTTATTTTTATGTTTAAAGTACTTACTTTGCATAAGTTTATTTAATAAACTTATCTCCTTTTTCACCTTTTTTAATCTCTTTTACTAAGTTTTATTATGATTATTTTCCTTAAAATTCTATTTTAAATATCTCCTTTTCGATTTCACGAACTTCTTTTTAGAGTTTCTTTTTGAAATCTTTTTGGACTTAGGCTAATTCTTCTTTTGATAATTAGTTAAATTTCTTAGGCTCAGGTGGCTTTTATTCCGGTTGAGGGGCTGTACCAAATAATTTTTAGAACATTTTTCTATTTTAAATTATTTTTAATTATTGTAATTTAATATTTTATATAGTAAAAAAAAAAATTTCACATTATAAATTATATAATATGAATATTTTTTATATTTTATTTATATTTTATGTATATCCTGAAAATATTGTAATATTATGTATTTATTATTTTATATATATATTAACATATATTTTATTTTTCTATTTTTTTTAAAAAATTATTTATAAAATATCATAAAAAATAAAAACTATTCTATTATATTTTATATTTATTTTTTATTATAATATATAAAAAAATATAGTTTGCTAATTTATATTTAAAAATATAATATAAAATAAGAATATATTCATTCGTTCATGAAAAGTTTAATTAAATAAATTTAAATTTATAATTAATCATAATTCTTTTTTTAAAAAAAAATTAAATTTGAGATTATTTGTATAAACTATTCTTTTTTAAGCAAAATATTGTAATGGTGTTTTAAATAAACTTATATGTATTTATTATTTATTTATTTATAATTTTTTTCATTTTTCTAAATTGAATTAATATATATAATATTAATTAATGCATTATTTAGAAAAATTCTTAAAATAACTATCATAAATTCAAAATAATATTTGATTAATATTTTTATATATTCAAAAATAATTATTTTATTATTAAATTTTCAAAAATAATTAATTCTGAAAAAAATATTACATTATTAAGCATAAATATTATCTAATAATTTAAAAACAATTTTATTATATTTTTAATAATAATTTAGTTAAACAAACAAAATTACCTACTAATCTGATAATTTTTGTATTTAGTAAATTTATTTAAAGTTTATATTATTATATTTAAAATTTTATTGACTATTTAAATATTTTATTTAATCATTTTTTAATAAATGTCATAAGCTTTTTATATATTGTTTATTAATTTAATAAAAATTATATATTTTTAAATTGTTTTTATATATTATATGTAATTTTTCTATTTGTTTTATATATAATAATTAATAAAAATATCATACTTTCAATCTTATATACTTATAAAATTTCTTTTTCGATTTTTTTTTTAAATTTTTTATAAAACTTAATTAGCTATATACATATTGAAATTGATATTAAAAAACAAACAAATATTATTATAATAAATAATTTAAATAATAATAAAAGCAAAACTATATTTTATTATTTAGTAAAATTATTAAACTAATAATAATTATATAAAGACAAATTGATAAATTTTTTAATAAGAAATTTAGAATTATTAATTAATTAAAATAATTCTATTTATATATTATAAAATATAATTATATTATTTAATAAAAATTAATACATTTTCGATAATAAGTTTTTATATTTAATTATTTATGTTTAGTCAATAAAATTTTGTAAATCTGTAAATTTTTATAAAGGTTAAATGTTGAAAATATTTATTTATATTATTATATATGTATTTGTCAATTTTTTTAAATAAATTAAAGTATTTTTTAAATATATTTTCATAAAATATATATATTAATAAAAAAATGGCTAATTTTGTATTGAATTCGTATTTTTATATATAAATAAGGATAATTACTTAAAAATAATAAGATAAAAAAGTTAAGTTACTTCTCCTGTTTTAGATTAAATAGATTAAGAAGACTTAGAATAAATATTGAATGGTAAAAACCATGAAATATAATATTGGAAATTAAAAATATCATAATAAGAACATCAAGTTATTTATTTTAAAATTATATATAAACAAATAAAATCATTCCAAAATAGATTTAAATATCAAATGAAAAAACTTAATATTTATGTGATGAATATGATAAATTAAGAGATAAATATTTATAATTAATGTAAAAATTGCAAGAAAAATAATAATAGCATATTGAATAAGTATAATTTATTTTAAAAATAAATTAAACAAATAAAAAAGTTAAATAAAAAAGACGATTTAATAATTGAACTTTAAAACGAATAATAAAAAATAAAGTTTAAAAAAAAAAAAAAAAAATTATAAAAATTTAAAAAATGGGCAGCTTAACTAACTTTGAATCAGTAAAAAAAAAAGAAAATTAAAAACAGCAGAAGATTAAAATAATAAACTTCTATTAGAAACATAAGTTGAATAAATTGAAAGATTAAAAAAACAGAATTTATATTACTAGTAATAATTAAAGTAATAATTATTTATTATTATAAATATGTTTATGATTTTAATTTATTTATAAAGAGAAAGAGATTATTAAATAAATTTAATTTAACAATAAATTAAGTATAAAATAAAACATTTTTAAGTTTTTAAAATTAATTTTTTATTAAAAAAAAATAGCAAACTCAAACAATTTGGTAATTTAGAAACTCATAAAAAAGGGGAACTTTGCTTATGAAAAATATATTTATTTATATATATATATATTTATATATATTTATATATATTTATATATAACAAAAATTAATTATATAAATTAAATTTAGCATTTATTATATTTAATTAATTATGTTTCATTCTTAATTAATTTTCATCATCAAGTTTACAGAGATATATATATATTGTTTTAATTGGTAAAATATGTTTAATACTACTTTTCAGATAAATTTAAAAAAGAAAATTTATAATAATAAAAATTAAAAATACTAAATACTAACAACTATTTCTATATAAAAATTTATATAGATCAAAAATTTTCTATGTTATTTAAAAATTTATTACTTTAATAACTAATTTATTCTTCATCATTATTGATTACACTTTTTTTCAAAGTCAAAAAAACTTTTTTAACTTTTTTTTTCATCCGATTATTACTAACTTCAATTATAAATTTCTGTTTTGGAGCAAAATCTTCTTTATTTTCAATTCTTTTTATTTGGAAAAAAAATTCACCTTACGAAAAACAATATTCATTTTTTAAACTTTTAATTCACATAAATAAGAAATATTTATTTTATGTTTTGAATATTTTTTAAAAAAAGTGAGTAATTTTTAATTAGAATTTCAAATAAATGATTATTTGATTAATTTTTCTATTGAATTTATATTTTTTTTATTAACAAAATAAATAAAAAAGTTATTATTTTTTTTAAAAAAATTCTAAACTATTTTCTAAAATCTGCCTATTAAATTTTAAAAGGTAAATTTAAAGTCATTTTTATGTATTATAATTTATGATAGCAATTTTGTATTATTATTTATTTTATTTAAATAGTTATCATTTAATTTTCAATTATATCGGTTAATTGAGAAAAATTATTATTATTTAATCTTGATAATATCCTCTAATTTATAGAAAAAAAAAATATTTTATTCATATTAAAATTATGATTTATTTTTATTTTTAAATTTATAATTTGTAAAAAACGATATATTTAGAAATTATTTTAACATAACAAATACTTATTCAGGATATTTTTATTTTATTTTTTTTGAAAATATGTATAGTAGCTCTTATTCAATTATAATTCTATTAAACTGTTAGAAAAAAGTTTTTAATTAGCATTTAATATGTTAAATTTTACAAAAATATTTTAACTTTATATAGTAAATTGTTACTTTTCCAGATAAATTTATTTATCTTTCGCTTAAATTTATTTATTTATTTTATTTTTTATTTTTTTTGTTACCTTTTATAATTAAGTATATTATATTAATGTAAAGCAAAAGATACTTTTTTAAAAAAAATTGTTCTTTTCCTTTTTTTTATTTAAGATATAAAGTTTAATAAATAATAAACCTTATCATAAAAATATTTTTCTTACTATGTAAATCCTATGTATTTATTATCATTTAAAATATTTAATAATAATTATTTTATTTTTATATTTTTTTAAAAAATAAATGTGCTTAATAATACCACAAATATACTAAAATTAATTATATTAAATTTAAAAACAAATAATATATTATTTTTGTATTAAGAAATTATATTCAATATATTATAAAAGAAAACTTAAATAATTTTCAAATATAATTACATTTATAAATATTATTGAATTTTATTTATTAAAAATAAATTTATTTAAATAATCTTTGAGTTTATTTTTTGATATTAACAAATATTTTATCTTAAAAAAAAAAAAAAAATTAAATTTATAAAAACAGATTAAATTAAACAAGTATAAAAAAATAAAAAGATTTAATACATAACTTGGAATAATATAGATAATAAAATAAAATAAAAAAATCAAAATAAAAAAAAAAAAAGGAAAAATAAAAAAATGGAAAACCAACACGAAAGAGCATTTTAAAAATAAGATGGAATATTTTTAAATTCCAAAAAAGTTTTATAAAAGAAAACCGCTGCAGGTGTTAGATACTATAAAAATATTGGTTTAGGATTTAAGACCCCTAAAGAAGCCATTGATGGACATTATATTGACAAAAAATGTCCCTTTACATCTAACTTATCTATTAGAGGAAAACTTATTAAGTATATATAATAAAAAAAAACCCATATATATTAAATATAGGGGATTAGTTATCTCAACTAAAATGAACAGAACTGTTATTATTAGAAGAGATTATTTGCATTACGTAAGAAATACAACAGATATGAAAAAAGACACAGAAACATTGCTGTCCATGTATCCCCATGCTTTTAAGTTAAAGAAGGAGATATTTAGTTGCTGGATAATGCAGGTATTTATTTATTTTTTAATTAAAATATTTTTATGTTTTTTTTTAAGACCTATCTCTAAAACTGTAAGATTTAACACTCTTTAAGTTTACCCTAATGAAATTGTAGGATCTGTAAGAAAATAATTTTTACTTTTTTGAAAAGTTTTATTGAATTTTTTTTTACTTAATAAAAAAATAATCAAAATGTATGCAAATTTTTTGTTATTTTAGTGGTTTTTTGTGTTTTTTTTTATTTTATATTTAAATTAATTTTTGATAAAAATAAAAGTTTTTTAGCATTTTTTTTTTAAATATAAATTTTAATAATAAATATGTTTTTATTTAAAAAAATTAAAATTATATTTAATATTTATTATTATTTTATTTGAGAAAATATAAAATAAAAATCCTGTATTATATAAAATAAGATATATCCTTAATTTTTGATATTTTTAATCAAGAATTTTAAATAAAAGTATATTTAAAAAAAATAGATTATTGTTATAAACAATTATTTCTAATTAAAATATTTTAAATAATATATAAACTTTTATAATAAAATATTATTTTTTTTTAAGTAAAATTTATAAATATTATTTATGTCAAAATAAAAAAAAATATAAAAAGAAAAACATTATTTTTTTTCCCTTTAAATAATTAATGAATATTATTATTTTATGATATAATATTTATTTTTTTAAGTTTATTGATTTCTTCATATATTAATGGGAACAAAAATATAAGGAAAGAAATCTTCAGTATCTTCAAGTTCTTCCTTAGTACCATACATACCTATATTAAAAAAACAAATTAATAAACAAAAATATATTAAGCAAACCTAATTCTTATGGATCTCCGAATAATTTCATCAATCTAACTTATATTTATTTTTCTTTTCCATTAGAAGGTTCAATCAAACATGTAGAAAATTTATTTTTAATTCCAAATCTAGTAGCAATATCAACAACTAATCTTAAATACTTTTTTATGATAAAACAAAAAAATATATAATTGCATATATTCATAATAAAAAAATAATACTTTTAAATGAATATAAGTATTATATAAACCACCAAAGCTTTTTTCACAAGTTTATTTAAGTACACTCTAAAAAAAGAAACAAAAAAATCAATAAATATATATATATATATATAAAAAATACGCTTAAACTCTTAGTTTTAACCTACAATTCAGTTCTCTATTTTTCTCTCTCCTTATATTCAGTAGGTTTATATTCAAATTCTCGTACAGTTAATTTAAGTTAATCTCTCATTGCTGCCATAAATTCTTCAACAGGAGTTTTCTATCTTTTATTATTCTCCTTATCTTAGTTAGATTAGTTCAATAATTATTTTTAAATAGTCTTATAATCGTATTTCATTACTAAAACTCTCCAAAGTGTATATCCATCCCTATCTTCAATATCAAATTATTTAGCAGATCCAGGGACTACACAATGATGAATAGTTTCATATGCATTTTAGAATTTTTCAATTTACTATCTTTTTTTTTTTATACATAAAAATAATATTATAATTATTTTGTTTTAAAAAGATTTTTTACTTTTAAACAATAACACAAACAGTTGTTACAGAATCATTATAAATAAAGTCTTTAGGTTTTACTTTTCCACTATCTAATACATCACCTAAATCTTTTACTAATAAATTTCCTCTTTTTAAAAAATATTTATTTAATAAATAAATAAAAGTTTTTTAAGTAAATAAAAAATTACTCTTTCATAGCAATAACATTTGATTAATTTTTTGCATCTTAAAATGCAGTTGTTTTTTAACGAATATCGTTTTCAATAGTACTCATTCTCTTAAAAAATATAATATTTTATAATTTAAAAACTTCTTTTTTTTATGTTATATATATATATATATATTTACTGTTTTTAATATCTTTAAAAGTTCTGGAAGAGGGTTACTTCTTGAAAAAGTGGCGTCGTCCCATTTAAATGTTTATACAAAATTAGGAAGAGTATCTAGTTTTTTATTTTTAATTAAAAAAAAAAAATATTTTTTATCTTAAGAATTTTATTTACAAACATCGTTTTTAGTTTCAACTTTAAAGTCGGCAGTTTATTATTCTGTTAAATCTAAATATTATCTTTCGATTTTTTTTAAAAGACCTTCTATTTATTATTCTAATTTGAGCATTGTTTCATTTGCATGCATTAAAGAATCTAAATTACCTAACTTGAATTTGGAAGATTCAACCTTTTTTTTTTTTAATTTTAATATATCAATTTATTTCATTTTGTTTTTACATCTATTTATTTCAAATTCTAGCTAAGAGATGATACTTCCTTTCTTATATTTTCCCAAGTTTAGGCTTAATTTCCTTGTATTAAAGTTGATCCAATTAAAAAATAAACCATTTTTTTTATTTATTTATTTTTTTCTTTGATTATATATTTATTTTATTTTATTGAATATTTTTATTTATTTCTTTTTTTTTTTTTTTAATAAAAAATAGAAAAAATAATAAATAGCTTTTTATTTTAAAATAATAATAAAAAAAATATAATCAATAACAAAAATAAATAAAAATATATTTAATATTTTATTTATTAAATAAAATAAATACTAAAAACAAAACAAAACAAAACAAAAATTATAAGTAATCTATTAAAAATAAAAAGTAACATAAAAATTCTTATAAATAAATTAACCACTTATTAATTATAAACAAATAAATTATATTTAAACCTTTCTTAATCTTTAAAATTGTCATAGACCTTACTTATCTAAAATCTCAAAACGAAAAATACCAATATAATTCTAATCAAAAAAAGTTCAAATAATCTTCCAGAAAGGCCAATAAAAACAAAATATTTTTGAAAATCCTTAAGGAAAAATCATTAATTCCTTCTTTTTTTTTTAAGGTCTTTTTCGATTTTTTTTTTTTTAATTTTTTGGTTTCTTTTAATTTTTTTTTTTCCCATATATTAAGAATTTTATCAACTTTTAATTTTCCGAAAACAATACATTTATAGATTTTTTTAAAAAAATATTTTTAATTTATACTACACTTATATTTCTTCTAAAGTATTTTATAGTTTTTGTGTTATAAAAAAATACTAAAAAAATTGAAAGAATTGCTTTTTGGAAAAATATAAATTAAATTTAGAAGTTGCTTATTTAGCCCTTAAATTTTTTAAAAAGGGGGGTAATTAACTTAATTATTATAATCTATTTTGATTAATGAATATTTTACTTTTTAAAATATTAAACAAAAAAAAGACTAAAATAAGAGTCTGTAAAATTTATAAAAAAAGTATTTAGTTATTTAATTAAGATTAATGTTAGTGTTCTATATTTATTTAAAAAATATTTTTAATTAATTCAGTATTAAATTGAATAAATTATGTTTTGAATAAAAAAAATATTGTTATTATATTTAAATGGGTATAATATAAATTTAATTTTGTTTTATATTAACGTCTTGAAGTTAAAGTATAAAACTTATATTTATAATATATTTTAATTATTTTAAAGCAAACATTATTAATAAAAAGGAATTTTTATATGATAATCATATTTAATTTTAATATAGTTTTTTAGTCGTATTTTTTAATTTATTTCATATATTTTAATTTATTTCGTATTTTTATAAAATTGAGGTTTATTTACAATAAATAAAATAGATTATTAATTTATTATATAAATGCATTTTTTATTAAATATATATTTAAATAATCTAAATTTTTAATAAAATAATATTAATAAATATAATATTTTATGTTAATAAATTTTTTTTTTTCAAGCTTTTTATATATTTTCAAATTATTGAGTTTAAGTTTGATAATCTTCCCAACACTTAAGCATTTATTGTGCCTAATTTTATTTTTAGTAATAAAGAATTAAATTATATTTATTACTATTGGGTATCTCTTTTAAAAAAATATTTAATTTTCTTATCAAAAAAAAAAAAAATGATTTTTTTACCACCTAATTAAAAAAGTTAAAATTAAATTATAAATTTATAAATAAATAAATTTTACATCCTATTCATTTTGTTATTTAGTAAATAATTAATAAATATTATTTTAATTTTTTTTAATTTAATAAATTATTTTATGTGTATGTTTACTCCCTATTTATTTTATATATATTAGCATTTTTAAAATTTTTTTTAGAAATTACTTTCTATAAAGTAATATTAAAAATATTATCGTGTTTATATAATTTAAATTACGTACTTTTATTAAAATATATTTATGATAAATAAATTATAAATATTATTATAATATTTACAATCTAATTTTTTACAATTTTTATTTATTTTTCTTTATATATATACATCCTAATATAATTTTTTTTTATTTATTTATAAAAAAAATATACAAACTAAAAATTATTCAAAATATTCCGAAAAATTAATAAATTTTATTTAAAATCTTACAACCTTTTTTAATATGAAATATTTTATTTATTATAATGGTTTTTTTTTTTTTTAGTTTACAAACTGATATAAAGTAAATTTATATTATTAATCAATTTTTTTATTTTATTTTACTTTCTACTTCTATATTTTTATAAAGTAATTTAATGTTTTATATAATAAATTATTATATTACATTCTAGTTTATAATTTTAAAATATAATATAGTTTTTTAAACTAGACATTTTTTTACCATCTAATTTAATATGTTTTAATATTTAATTATATTTATTGTTTTATTTTTTTTACTGCACACTGAAATTATTATTTTTTTGAAAATTTTTTTTCGAAAATATAATATTTTTAGATTTTACATACTAATTAATATTAAAATAATGAATAATTTTTTTTTTTCAAATAATTATATTTATTTTACAATCTTTTTTATTTAAAATTAATTACTAATTTATTTATAATCGCTTATACTTCAAACTTCAAAAATTAATAATTAAAAAAAATACTATAGACTATTTTTTATACTCCCTAACATATAATTTAATAAAAGTAAAACTTGAAAATAAATAATACTATCTTTATTCAAAAAAGTTTTAATTTATTTAATTTTTTTTACAAACTAAAAATATTAAATTATTATTTTTTTCTAATTAATTTTTATACAAACTAATTTTTATAAAAATTAATTAAATATTTTTTTTAGTTTAATTTTCTATTTATTACTCCCTAAATATAAATAGAAAAGATATTTAAATCTAATATTTTACTATCTAAATTAATAAAAGCTATATTTTAATCTTATATATAAATATTACTATCTAAATATTAAAATTTGTTAATAAATAATTTTTATTATCTAAATTCTCTTAAATTGATTTATAGTGTTTATTTTTTTTAATATAATAACTTATATATTAGTTTTATATTTCATTTTTTCTTATATATGAATTCATTATAAACACTATTCAAATCAAAATAAAAGTATTTAGTTTTCTATTATATTTATTTTCGCTGACATCCTATTTATTTTGTCAAAATAATTTAGGTTTATATATAATTATATTACACACTATTTATTATAAAAAATTAGAGTTTGTATAAAGTTGCTTTTAATCTTAGTTACTCCCTATTTACATTTAAATTACAATCTTTAATAAAAAAGTATATAATATTACATCCTTTATAAAATTAAAAAAATAAAAATCGATTTATTATAATATAATATACTCTCTAAAAATAATAATATTTATATTTATTTTTCTAAAAAAGAAAACATTTTATTTATTTACAATCTAATTAATAATAAATGATACAAAACTGTAATTTTTAAATATTATTTACATTCTAATAAAAAATATATTCCATAGAATATAGTATAAATGTAATACTATATCTTCCTATAAAGTAAAAAATATAAAAAATATAAATATATTTAATTATCTTACATAATTTGTATACTAAAAGAAAAACAAACAAACAAAAATAAATTTCCTCTTTTAAAAAAAAATAAAAAAAATACTTAATATTTAATATTCATATGTTCTTTCAAATATTTATTAATTTCACTCACTACGTAATTTTTAATTTCATTTATTTTAATATTATTTCCCTAAATTTTTCCTTGTTAATCCCTAAAAATTTAAATATTATGATAACTTTTTACCTAAAAATATTTATTTTATTCCTATTTTAAAATATAATTAAAAAATCTAATAATAAAAAAAAAATAATACTTTTTTTTATTTATTATTTTATATATTATATTTTTTATCTAAAAGTCTCTAATCTCTATATTTAATTTCAATAATCTCTAATTCTAATTATTTGTGTAATTCACAAATTACATTTACTATTAATATACGATTTTCAATTTTAAACTAAATCATTTAAAAAGCTAAATAAATCAAATCTTCATCTTCTTATCCAATTACATTAGGAAATTATTTGTTTTCTTCTTTTAATATAAAAAGTGAATTTTAATCCACTCCAAATATCTCGGCAATAATAATACCTGCGCTATATATATTAGATTCTTTTATTATTCTTCCAATAATTTATTCAGGGGCACAATAAAGGGATAGCTATTTACTTTTATTATATTAAGAAAGTCCAAAATCAGCTAATATGCATGTTAATTCATTTTGATTTTCCAAAAAAATGTTGGATGGTTTTAAATTATAGTGTATTATATTATTTTAATGGAGATCTTATAGACCATAAAGTAGGCCTAAGGCCAAAACTATTTTTTAATAACGAGAAGTTTTCCTTTTTTCATTTAGAAACTTTTCCAAATTACCTTCAGGATAATATTTCATAAGCATAAAAGCACTTTAGAATTAATCTTTAAGAAAAAAATCGTATAAAGTGTACACGTTTGAAGTTTTAATATCCTTGATTTATAAATTTAATTATTAAATCGTATATGGATTATCTAATTCAGAAATATTTAGTATTTTTAATATTAATTATTTATTATTTTCTTAATTGAGACATAAAAATACTGAAGTTCTATAACCAGTTCCCAAATGCTTAATTACTTAAAAATTTAAAGTATTTTTAATAAAAGATTATTATTTTTCTAATTATTCCATTTTAATAATAAATAAATAAATATTAAAAAAAAAAATATATTTAATATATTAATAAAAAAAATAAAAATATGAAATATTATATAAAATATATATATATATATATATATATATATATATATATATATATATATAAATTAATTTAATATTTTTAAAAAAACAATATTAAATTTTTATACATAAATTAAAAATATAATTATATATTAATATATAAAAAAATAATTCATATGAATATTTTTAAAATAAAATTATATATTTTACCTATTAAAATTTATTTAATTTAATAATTTCCATAATATTTTTTATTTTAAATACTATAAATATTTACATATATCAAATATTATATATATTTATAATTTTTTTATGAAAGCTTTTTTATTCAGCATATTAACATTTATATTATTTTATTGCATTTAATATTTTTAAAAATATTTTATAATAGTCTTTTATTTTAATATTTTTTATTCTTTATTCTATTATCGGATGTTTGTCTTAAAAATATGATATAATTTTTACTATATATATATTAAGTTATTTTTTTATTATATATTTTAATCTTTTTTACATCCTTTTATATTTTCTTTTTTTCTTTATTTTTTAAGAAATATTCTATAAGTATTATAAGTTTTAAAATAAATTCCTGAAATCTATTTTTGTTTTGCTCTATAACACATAAAACTATTGTTATGGATTATTTTTTATTTTGATTAAATTTTATTTATAATTTTTTATTTTTTTAAATATTGCATTTTTCTTGTAAGCCATTTTATTCTGTAATAAAAGTTTCTCTGTATTTATTATTTCGGGCATACTATATTAAATTTTTATTTATTTTAAAAAATAAGTTTTTTTTTTATTATTTTCATAATTTTTTATTCTATATTTTTCATATACTTTTATATTATTTTGTTAACATTCGGTTTTTTGTTTTTTTCTGTAAAATGTTTCAATAATTACTTGTTATATTTAGTATTTTTAAAATTTTTGAAATATTAGTATAGTCTTTTTTGACTTATATGGTATTAAAAAAATCATTAGCAACATATTGCTTATTAAATTAAATCAATTTAATTTTTAAAATCATTGAAATTTTTTTAAAAAAAAGCAAAATAATTTGTTTTTACCAAGATTTATAAAGGTGATAGATAATTCCTTTTATTAGAAAATTAAAGTTATATAAAATAATTGAAAATTTTAATTATTCATGATTTTGTTGGTATAATGACTTTAGGAAGTCTTTATTTATAATAACAAATAATGTTTTAAATAAGGAAAATATTATTATTAGTTTTAAATTAAAGTTTTCAATCAATATATTTTTTTATAGTTTTTGAGACGTTTTGTGCTTTTGATATAATTCGAGGTATATTAGGAAATCTATTAGGAATTTATATTAAGATTTACATATAACATATTAGAAGTTCTATTATAAGATAGAATAGGATTTTTAATTATAATTGGTATTATTATTGTTAATATAATTTATAGAATTAGAATTATAAGCAATTTTTTTTTGGCATTTTTTACTTTAATTATAATATTAATGAAATTAATAAAATTAATTTTTTTTTTTTTTTAAATTATAAAAGTCTTTTTTAATTTTTTATATATGAATTAGATAATTTTCTATATAATAATTTTTTTTTCTCTTTAACATTTTTTTTTTTAATCCAAAAAATAAAAAAAAATCAAATCAAATTACAACAACGTTAATTAGTTTGTTTTGCTTTTTTATAAAAATCACAACTAATAGTACTCATATCTTTACTTTTAGCCATTAAAGTTTCTAGTTTTTCCCCTTTCCTCATTAACTAATATAAATAAATTATTATTATTAAGAAAAAATAAAAAAATTAACTTCGCCTATATTTTTATGACAAATTTCATTTATTTCTTTTAATGTATTTTCTAATTATACTAATTTATCAGCTTTTGTATAATCTTAATATTCTTTAATCATTTAATCTAATCTTTCAAATTTTAAACTAGTATCCGCTAATAAATAAGAAACCCAATAAAAATAATAATAAAATAAAAATAAAAAAACATGCCACAGCATCTATTTCTGCGGGTGTGTATAATTAAAAAAATTCCTTATACATTTCTTGAATTATTATAAAAGGAACTTTTTAAGGATATTCATCATCACAAACTACTAAGCAAGCAATATTATTTTAATCAACACATACATAGCAAGTTGCTTTAGCGTCTTCTAAGCTAACTGCTATTCTTTAACCTTTTTATACACGACTATAATTTTAATAAATTATTTATCCATTTATTTTTATAATTTTTTACGCTACTGTAGTTCTTACACCAAAATTTAATGTTTCTTTAAAGAAAGGTCGTTAATACCAACTTTTTTTGTTTTGTTTTTTTGAAATTTATTTTCTTTGTTTTTTTTACCTTACAAAACCTAATTCATATGATGAACTTAAAAAAATAGGATTTTATTCATCCCATTTTAATACATGCATTGAAATTATTTTCATTTTATTTTATTTTGGATTGCTTTTTTATGTATTGATTTGTTTCAAATATATTAAATTATCTTTAAAATTGTATATATTAAAAAAAAAAATGCATATATAAGTATATTTTTATTTTCTATATCAAATAATTTTTTTGTTTTTTATGTTTTTTACAAATAATACATACATTTGTGCATTAAATATATAATAATTTTTAAATATATTAATTTTAATTATTAATAAAAATACAAAGAATAATTTATATTATTATAATAAAAAATTGTTAAATTCTTATAAAAGATATAATATAAACAAATGTTTAAATTTGCAGATAATTAATATGAAATAATATAAATTAAGTAAAAATCTATTATAAAATTATTAATATAGAAACTTAATTAGTTAACATAAAATCAAATGATTCGTCCGATAGTCAAATTATTATTTTTTGGGTTTTTTTAAATAAATTTGTAAGATATAATAATAAATTAATTATTATAAATAAAAAATTGAAAAATAAAAATATTATAAAAAAAATTATAAAAAAAAAAAAAAAAATTAAAAAAAAAATATCATATTTTTAATTAAATATTCGATAAATATCGCTTCTATAAATACCTTAAATTATAAAGAATTTTCGCTTTAATTATATTTATTTATTAGCGAAAACAAATAGGTAAATAAAATAAATATTAATTAAAGCATTATAAACTTAATGATTATAATAATTTAATATATTAAGATAATTTACTAAGCAAAAAGTCAAACATTCAAAATTATTATTATTGAAAACATTTAATTTTTTAATAAAACTAATATATATGTTTATAAATTAAAAAATATTACCTTTATTTAATTAAATACTAATATGTTAATATTTTATTATTAATAATACATTCTTAAAAATTGAAAAATCAAAAAAGGAAATTAATTTAAATAACTAAGTTCATATTAGCAAATAATAGATTATTAATGGATTTAATAATAATAAAAAGAATTATTATTATTATATAATAGATACCAAATTATAATAAAATAATTTAATATATTTTTATTTTAAATAAATAATAATATAAATTTAATATTTAATTGATTAAAAAAATTAAATATTATAATATGAAAGATATGATAAAATACTATATTGAAAAATAAAATTATAAATTATAATTTAAACATAAAATAATATTTATTTAAAGTTAATAATATTAAATTAAAAAAAAATATATATAATTAAATACATAAATTATGATATTATATATAAATTATTATTATATAATTATAGAATTTTTAAATTATTTTATTAATTATTTTCATATTATTTTATATATTTTATATAATTATATTATATTATTTTAATTATTATAAATTAATATATTTTTTTAACAAAGAATATATTTTTTATATAATATTAATTATTATATAATAAATTATTTTAAATTTTTTTTTTTTTCATTTTTACTTTTATATTTGAAAATAATTAAATAAAAATTATAATATAAATATATATAATTAAATTTTTTTCTAAATACTTTTTTTTTTTTTTTATTGATATCATAATTATTTTCATTTTATTTTAAAAAAATTAAAATTTTAATAAAATTTCAAATCTTCTTTAAAAGTTTTTATTTAACTTTTTTTTAATTTTTTAAATATTTTTATATAATTATAAAAATAAAATTAAAAATAAATGATAAAAATAATTAAATATTTATTATTTTTATTGGTTTAATTAGTAGGCAATGAATTTAAAATACACTTAGTAAATCCATTATTATTTTCTTAATACAAATAAGAAGAAGTATATTTAATGTATAAAAAATAATATAAATATTTATATTAAATAAAAAAAATAAAAAATATAAAGATTAATTAATATGGATTATTTAACTTACCAAATAAAATATTTGAACTTGTACAGATAAAAAAATAAAAAACCAACATTTTAAAATAATAATAAAAAAGGATTCATTAATGATAGCAGAAATACTAATAGATTTTCGTTAATTTTACGACAATTAAAATTAAAAAAATGATTTTTAATTTGAATACGGTAAAGATTGGGATGTAAATATATATATATATATATATATATATATATATATATATATATATATATATATTTATATATTTATAAATAAAATTAGATATTTTATATAATATCTGAAAATTTAACTGAATAATCATTAATTTAAGAAGCTTTAAAAATTCACAATAGTTCAGATTTACCAGAAGCATTTTTAAAAGTCGATAAGATTCAAAACCATTCATTTTCCTTTTTCGCTTGGCAAGATTTAAAATTAGGAATTTTAATAAGAATTTTCACTCCTGTACATTATCCTTAACGTTTCAATTTAATGAATTCTACAAAAATTACTTTAAAATCACCCTATCGTGCAAAATACAATGAAAAAAAAATATTTGGCTTTATAATACAAAATGATGAAACTATCGATTTACCAATAAATATATTACCTTTAGATGATTAATATTAGAAATATCCTCAATATTTAATAAATTACAAAAAAGATGCTTACGAGTATTTTAAAAACTTAGCAAAAACTGACTTAAAGAGCAATCCCTCATAAATACTCAATTAACTATTTTGGAATGGTAAGTAATAAATATCAATGCCTTATATTCCTTATCTTAGTAATTGCAGAGAATTCGGATCTTAGGGAATCCTGTATACTATAGTAGAAAACGAAGAACTTTGTGATCTTATCCCTGTTGAGAAAACAGTTCCTATTCGTCCTTTTGTTTTTGGGGATAAACCAATTAGCGATTAGTGTGAAAATATTAAATTTGATTGTATTTTTGATGAATAATTAAATAGAGATCCCGAATACGAGAATTGGTTTTAAACTAAATAAGATGACACTATTTTTTATATTACTTAATATGCAACTGATTTTCTTAAAAGTTAGCTTGATAGTAAAGATACTTATTTCAATGAAGCCGATATTATAAAAGTCAAAGCAGGGAATAATCTATAGAATGGGTATTTACCAAAAGTTGTGTAGTTTGATATTTAGTATTATTAAACTTCTAATACAGAAAAATAAATTATTTAAGCTTTTATGCTTTTTCTTAATTAAGTATAACCGAATAATGATTAAGTTTAAGATGATTCACCTTTCGAGTATACTTTGGTGTTTAATTATAAAAGTATGACTTAATCAGAACTAATTATAGCATTTACTTTAGGATGGTATGTTTATCTTGTTCTTTATTTAATTATAGGGATTTTGATGGTTTTTAATGTCTTTGTTTTTGTTTTGTATCATTATATTTTTAGTAGGTTTAATTTGTTTTTTTATATTTTAAAATTTATTTTTTTAAATTAAATAGAAGAAGACCAAGACCTAAAATAAAATTTATTTAGTGTATAAAGCCTTTTTATACTTAGGCTTTTATAGGAGTTTATTTAACACTTTTTCCTGTTGGATTTATTCTTATTTTAAATGGAATATTTATGAGTGGAAGTATTTTTGATTTAAATACTAGTTTTTTTAATTGTGAGGAAACTGAAAGCGAATGTTATCATTCATTTTTTGATATTTTATGGACTGTAATATAATTAATTTTTTATATATAAATTATGTATAGATTTATTTTTTCTATAATATTTTTTTTAAAACTCAATTAACAAAAAAAAAAAGACCATATTCTTTTTTTTTTAAGGTTGATTGAGTTTTTAATAAAAATTATAAAAGCAAAAATAGAATTTTATAAATATTAATATAAATAGAATGGATTAAAAATAGATAGTGAAAATTTTATAAAAATTAAAAAAGGAAGGTCTAATTTAGCTATGATTGTGATAGGAATATATATTATGTACTATATGATAATACTATTAATACCTCATAAAAAAGGTAAGATAGATGAATTAATGGGAAATATATCATTAGATAATAATATTTGGTATAAAACTATATGGAGAAGATTTTATTATTTTTTTTTTACTATTATAATAATAATTATAATGTCAGTAATTATTTAATTTTCACTTTCAAATAATTTTAGTGAAAATATTTGGTATTTTTTAGTCATTATTAAAATTATTGGAATGGTTTTTGAGTGTATTGGTGAATATTTACTTTAAGATAATATTCTTATTTCTATTATTAATACTTCTTTTGATTGTACTCTTAATATGGCAACATTAGGAGCAAATGATTTTTTCGATTTCCTTTTTTCGTATTTTGTAGAAATAGGTATTTAAATGATTGAAAGAGCATATGTAAGTATAATAAGAGATTAATTTTCAGAGTTTCTTGAAGTAAAATATGACTAATTTTAGAAATATGTTAACACGTATTTATAATTAAAGTTTTTTATATATTTTTTGTTTTACTAAAAATAAAGAACATTTTTTCCAAATTAAAATAATTAATAAGATAAATTACACGATTAATTAACTTAATTAAGCAAAAAAGGCATTATTAAAAATTAATTAAAATTTTTTAAATTATTTATATTATATATATAAAGATTTTGAAAAATCAGGAACAAGTTATTCAAATATAATATTATCAGAATATTTCGAAGACATATATGAATCTGAAGACGGAGATTAAACTTGTAAAAATAAATATATAAAAAAAATAAAAAAAAAATATATATAAATATATATATATATATATATATATATATATATATATATATATATATATTTACATATAATTATTATATATATATTATTATTAGATATTAATCATTCTTTAGATAATATAAACTTTTAAATTAATACTAAAACTAAAAATTTAAATAAATAAGAATTAATCGCAAAATAAAAACTCGATACTAATTTAAGAAGAAAAAGTATGTAATTTATAACCAAAATGTTCTAACTATAGTCCAGAAATGAACGTAATAGCATTTCTAATTTAGATTCATCTTTTTAAGAAAATAGAGATGCAGATAAATATGAAAATAGTTATAAAAATTATTTTAGAGAAAAAGCTTTAAATAAATTAAAAAAAAATAATAATAATAATTACTAGAAATAAAAAAAGGATAATATTTAGTAAAAGTAAAAAGTTATAGAAGAAATAGATATTGATAGTGATGAAGTTGTTAATAAATATGCAGATTATAGTAATGGGACTATATCATTTTTAGTTTTAGTATAATATATTAATATAAAAGAAATATATATATATTTGATTATATAATTAAAATAATATAAATATATAAATATATATAAATATATATATATATAATTATACATATGTTTATATATTATTTTTTTTCTAAATTTTATTAATAAAGCCTATATTGATTATTATAAGTTGGCTATTTTATGATGAAAATTAATTAGCTGAAGATTATAAAATAACAAAAGAATCTTACAAATATTATTTTTTATTTTCTATCATAATTATTCCTTTTCAAATGTGTAGTGATATATTTTTTTATAATTTATTTATAATTTACCATGGAATCGATTTTCTAGACTATGTTAAATAAGTAAATGAAAAGTTTTAAAATCGCTCGTAAAATATACATAACAAATATTATATATATTTATTTACAAAATATTTAAATACAAATCATATATTTAAAAAAATAGATAATTATGGATGGCAAACATACAAAAAAGTACTCGAGAAAAAGAAAATAGATGTTTAGATGATTGGTGTTTTTCCTCTTAATATTATTTTACATAAACAATGTTTTTAACAGGTACTTTTATAATAGTATATGGAATATATGGTATAATAAAAAATGAATATAATGTTTTTTAGGATTTAATGCTTTTTCCTATTATTTTTATGTGGATTTTATTATGTTTTCTTACATAGAAATTATTTCTTTGGTTAGGAAAATAAATTGGGCTTTGGAAAATATCTAAAAAAGATGAAGATTTGCATTCTCCTTCCAAAAAAAAATAACAAAAATTAGAAATTATTAATAATGAAGAAGATAAAAATATTTCATTAAAAATATTTAAAAACAAACAATAAAGTATAGAAAATCCTTAATATTAATTGGTTTAATAAAATATAGATTAAAAATAGTATCAAATATAAAAGAAATATAAAAAAGCCTATAATATAATTAAATAAAATCACGAAAACTTTACTTTTAAGAAATAATTTTTATAAGCAAATAAAAAATGGCTTTCCAATAATATTCCTTAAATAATAAATAAAGATATAAATCCTTAATATAGATAATTTATTATTAAATAATTATAAATTATAGACAGTTAATTTTTAACTAATAAATATTAAAAAAAGAATAAATACTCAAAATAAACAATGCGAAAAAATTCACCCAAAGATAATTAGTTTTAAACTAATAACTTCCCTTAAATATCAGATTGTAGTTAAGAGTATACTTAATTTGTAATAAAACCGCATATAAATTTAAATAATTAAGCCAAGCCAAACGTACCTACTGAAACAGCTTCTCATATTAAAACTATACTCTAATATTGGCTTAATAGAAGTAGAAATTAGAGGAAATATATCCATTTAATAGGAGGTTTGTTCAATAAAAAAGTAAAAAAAAGCTGCCTTTATTGTGGATCTTCTTGGGGTTTATTATGTGAATCTAAGATGAATATAGAAGATTTATTTTAGAGATTTTTAAAGGAGTATAAATTAAAGAATATCGAAAATTATAAACATATTGATAAATGGTAAGATTTTTTCCAGGAGAATTGCGGGTTTTAAACTATTTGTTTTTCATGTAATGAGTAATGTTTTGAAATTTTCTAAAAAAAAGAAGGAAAATTTAATTTTTTATAAAATTTAGATAATAGCCATATAATATAAAAAAATGAAATTTTCTTAAAAGAAGAAGAAGAAATAAAAAGTTAAGCTTTTTCAGAATTATCGTATAAATATTAATTTTTAAAAAATAAAAACTCTATGTCATATTTTTAATAGTTTTCTTAATAAAGTCTTATTGAATTTACGAAATTTTGTGATTTAAAAGGAAAGAAATAAAGTTTATAAAATAAAATAGATAGGTATTTTTAATAAAATGAAGCTTTCTTTACAAAGTTTAGAAAATTTTTATAAGTTTGGGTTAAAATAGCGAAAAAGAATATAAAAAAATGATTTTTATATATATAAATATATAATTATAATAATTTATATATATATATATTTATTTTTAATATATTTATATATATAATTTTTTTTTTAGAATTCTATTATTATATATAAAATATATATTTTAATTATTATTTTATTCATTTTTATTTATTTTCTTATGAAATAAAATATTCTTTGGTATTTTTTATACATTCAAAAGCTTCATTTTCATTGTTCATATTATATAGGTTTTTAATTTCTATATAAATCTTTTTTTTTTTTTTTTATGATTTTTTTTTTTGTTAAAATTTACATTATTATTCTATTAATAATAATCTTTTATTTAATTTATTATATTAAAATGATTTTTTTATTTCAGAGTTTCTTTTAATTTTAATATATTAAATTAATCAATTAATTAGTAATATTATGTATTTTCAAGGAATTTATGATTTTAAAAATCAGGAATTTTAA